TACATTTTGGTATTTGGATTTACGATTTAGCAACTTTACTTAGCAACAGTTTAAAAACATATGTTAATTTAACAGTTATTTTATAGTACGATTCTACACAGTCATTTCTCGCTTCCCGTTTTCCTGTCAGTATGCAAATTTAGCTCGCGTGTATTTAAGTGAGGGTTTGAGACTGTCTTAGACAGAACGCGTTCTGCCTGCTCAATGCCATGTTACTTGTTGTTAGTCTAAATTAAGCATTTCTATCTACAACGTTGCTTTATTCTCGCCGAAAGTGCTGTCACGCCAGTGTTAGGTTAAGGACCAGCTTGCACGTTTAAATATCTCTGTAGTGCTTGGTTAATAGAAACTAGATTTAGTTTTAATATAAAATTGTACTTGAGTTGACACCATAAATGTTGGCTTAGCTGTAAGCACCAGGTGTGCTATCTGCTTAGTTTATTCAGTTTTAAATAAACGAATTTTCAAGACCTTTCATTAAGTTTCTTTTTGCTTATCTAGACCTAGTGATAAGTCGCTTAAGTAGCAGTCTTGACTTAATGTATGTTACCAAAACACGTGAGATTCTATAAATATTCCTTCCTTAGGAATTTGATAACATTAATTGATTTACTAATCTCAAATAAGTGATGCATGTTCCATGTTTTCGTATACAAATGGGCGGGACTGATTAAATAAGACTATCCAAATGATAACGATGATCACATTAAGAGGCGCCTACTGCATATGTGCGGCTAATGCATATTTGCTGCATATATATACGCAGTAAAACAAACGCTAGGCGAGAAATTTAGGTATTGCGTAAGTTTAGAACATTAATGTCATGCGGACACCACGCATTATTTTATATTTTCAGTTTTGCTATAACACTATATCATATCAGTTTCCTTCATTCAACCTTTTTATCTACAAAATTTAATGGATTGCTTTTATCAGTATAGAATTTTAAATATTTTGATATAAAAATTATGACAAGGAGATTTATGACAACGAAAGATAACAGAAAATTTTTTATAATACTAATACGATGAGCATACCCTTAATTTGTTATTAACGTTGTAATGTTAATTTTAATTACCATCTTATTTCTCACATTAAAATATGTCTTCTAGTCCTATCGTTTCGTCTGTTTCGCCGGAATATATAAATGGGAAGAGTGTTATATGGGTAAACATGTGTGCCTAAGAAAAAGGAATTTCAAATTTAAGCTAGTTTGTAATTAAGTTTCTCTTCTGCCATTCAGTGCGAGAGATATTTCTACAAACTCTAGAGATAAACATTTATAAAAACTATATAGATTTTCTACAAACTATATATATTTCTACAAACTATATAGATTTTCTACAAACTATATATATTTCTACAAACTATATAGATAAACATCTTCGATTAAATGGTTAGCAGTAGTCGTACAATGGGTAAAGCCAGGTGCTAGGATATAGACCTTTGAAATTTTTCTATGAGTAAACTCATTGTTTCCCTGTCATTCCCTGGTAAGGGAAATAAATTAAATACTCTATGTTGATATTTTAGTTGTTTATGTTATATTTACATAGTGTTCTGGTTGTTTACATATGTTATATTTACATAGTGTTTAGTTGTTCATGTTATATTTACATAGTGTGTAGTTAAGATGGTACGAAAGTTCGTCAGTCTAAAAAGTTAGCTTAGTATTTAGATTAAACCAAAAGTGAGTTTCGCCTCACATAGCAGAATCCACATAAAATTTTTAATTTTAACTGCATCTCAGGGCAGGAACTGCTGTATCCTATCGTGAGTATATCTTTAAAATAATAAAATTAGTTTAAACAGAATATTTCGTTTCATTAACATTTTACGATAAAATTTGTCATTTCTCATGACACAAGTTTTTCTTAGAACTAGCACAGCATTTTTATCTCCTCAAGATTTAATATGCTTATACATTTCTTGTTTGTATACTAGTTGCGATAAAACCACTCTTTTATGGGATCAGATCAGAATCTTTCGCTCACTAAACTGAATATGTTCTTTTTTATGACTCACTGCTCACTAACAAGACTTGACGAAAAAGATCGTAAACGATGAGTGAATCAAGAGCGATGCGTGAAGTTCGATCAAAGAGAGGAACGATTCGAATCAGCAGTGAGATCGGATTGACTCAGTCGAACTGATAACTCCGTGGACTGATTTAATTCAAACGTAGTTTTGAGATTCCTTAAAAATTCTTTTTTTTTACTCAGAACTAACGATAAAATTCATAAATAAAAATGTCCAAACGTTAGGAAATGTTAAACTAGCTTATAAGATTGGAGAAGAAAGGTATGAGTACCTTCCTTCCCTAAAATAGGAATCGAAATTTCCTGGCACTTTTCTAACAAAAGCTTCTTAAAGTGAGTGAATTCTCAAGAGCTATATCTCTCTTTTAGTGAACCACCGTTCGTTTAGTCAAGTAAATCGGGTCTTCGAATTTAGTTCGTGAGTGAACTGCGGTTCTCTATCTTCAGCGGGTTCACTTCTCCCAGGAAGATAAAAAATAAACTAATAGTTAAAGAATTTTTAAAATCTAGGATCCTTAGTTTATTTAAGAAAAACATCTGTACACATCTATGAATGCAGGAATGTTCCTATCCAGTTGACTCGCTTATTATAAGTTATAGGTCCGATAAGATTCTACATAGAGAAAATTATAGTTTCTTTCTCTCCGTTCATCTATCTGTCTCACAATAAATGATTTTATGAGATTTCTGTTTTCTGTTTTGTTTTGCTGATCGAAAAGACGAGTTTTTTCTGTTCCAGGCATGCAGGTATTTTATGATCTTTTATATGATCGAAATGCGAGTTTTTCCTGTTTGTTTTTAAATAAAATTTTAAAAGTATTATTTTTTAATTAAAGCATTTAAAAAATAGTAATATCAAATTTTTTATTTTAAAGTATCGGTCTACAAGCTGAAGATTTCAAATAATTATTAGTTCAAAGGGCCAATTTGCTCTGAAGGACTATTAATTTCGTTTTTGGCATTTTGCGTTGAAAACAATCAACGACGAATCACTTTTCAAATTGTTACTAACAAATAATATCGCCCTGCATTATATTTAAAGAAATTAAATAATGAAGAATCTGCATGAATGTATGTATGTTTCTCGCATTGTGCTAAAACAACAGTTCCTAGAGCCATCAAAATTTGAATAATGTAGTCCTTCCACCCGAAGTATTGGGTACTGTGGAAGAACGAATTTTAAATTTTGAAATTTGTTTTATTATCGATTTCATAATTTGTAACACTTAAACGAATTTTTGATTAAAAAAAACTAAACGATTTTAAAGCAAGTAATGGCAACACTGTACGGAAACAAAACCTTTTATCTTCAGCGCGCTAGCCTCTGTATCGGAAATTCTAAAGATATGCTCATTTTAATAATTAATAAATTTAAATAATTAATAAATTAATTATTTTCTTTGGAACACAAGTTTTTGCTTCCTATAACCTTGCTGTTTTTAATAATTGCTAAATGAAAATTCTGTTGATAATTATTAACTCAACAATGTTTAACTGTGTGATAGAAAATGTTTGATAACTTTTTACATTTATTCTCACATATTTAAAAGTTAATTTAACAGAAAATTTTTTTAATATTTAATCTCTAGCGACATGCTTTTGTTGCATATTAAATTCAAAGTATTTACCTTTGGTAAAGCAGACGATTCTAAATATATGAAATCTTATTGGAGCTTTTTACAGGACTTGTTTCTTGAAAAACTCCTTTAATTATGTCTCTGAAGCCGTAACAAGTTTCTTAAAACGTGCAAGATATCCTTTTTGGAAGATAACACAATTATTGCCATTAAGAAATTATTAAACGGAATCTCAAAATTCTCATAAAATAGTCACATGGCCATTTAGCGTAAATTAGAAGACTGAAATTATTTTTAACGTCAAGTGGAAAACTAGCGCCACTCTTCAAACATATAAAAATGCAGAATTCTTAGTGCATTTGTTTCAAAATTTGGTATTTAGGCATTATTGTAGGAAGAGAATTGAAATGTAGAAAACACTAGTACTACATTACAGAAAAATTCCGATTTAAAGCAAGATACCTATGTTAGAACAACGTTACATAAAAATTTCATGTATATCGTAAGTTGCACTTTTGGGACAGGAAAAATGAAGTTTCAAATTTGTCGAGTAATCAAGTAGAACTATTGGTCAAGCCGAGATTCTAGTTGACCATTTTCAACTGCCCGTTTTTTATTTGACCTTTATACTTAACTAAATAAAAAGGCCCTAAAACTTTGTAACTGGAAACTTTTGCCTTTCTTGTTTCGATGCGATTGAAATTTAAAAGAAGATAGGAATTTTAACTTCATCAATTTTTCTCATAAAATTATTGAAAGCTTTATAAATAGATAGTACCGTGTAGTTTCTAAATAGTAGTCTATTTCCTATTAATAAACTAAATTTCTACAGTTCTAAAGCCTTTCATTCAAAAGTTAAAGAAAAGTGTAAGACTTTATATAAAAAGGAAGCACTGTATAAATTTTTCACACGACAGAAGATTTACTTAGCGCTTTTTTCTACATACATCCTTACGTTGTACATCTTTTTTCCCTTTTCTAGGTACGTTCCCATAATTTTGTTAATGCTTTAAAAATTTTATTAGGAAAATGATCAAATAAAAATTCTGAAGAATTTGAAGAAATAGCATACTTCAAAATATAGTTTTTTTTAAACAATGGAAAAAGGTTGTTAACAAACTAGAAAAATAACCATTTCTATTGCTATTTAAAAATTTCTTGAGAACTTTAATAATTGTTCAAAATATTAACTTTGCTATTTGAAATATAAATAAACTGTATGTTCTTTTGAAACACTTTATTTTGTTGATAAAATTTAGTTAAATATTATTCAGAAACAAAAAATTATCACATATATTTAATTTTAGTTATTTTTAGATGAATCAAAATTATCTTAAAAACATAATAATTATAATGAATAGATTTATAGTTATTGTAAATTTACCTGTAAACAGGCCCATAGATTTTTGCAAGCTGTTGTAATTTAATATAGGGTTTTCTCGTCATAAATGGGATATAGCCTACAAGCGGCAATCCCATAGGACCAGGTAAAGGATTTTGTCCCCTTTTCTTCCATGATATGAAAAGTGATACAAGTGCTATTAACACAGTGACGAAAATCAAAGTTGTCGTTTCCATGCTTGGAACATCCAAATGTTGTTAATGCTTCTATTAACCGAAACAATTTTATTCGATGAATTATATAGGAAGGACCATGATTCAACATTTTTCTGTCACTATCGTTTCAACTTTGAGCCCATTAGGAACAAAAGCAAGAAAACGAGATAAATTCAACCAGTTTGCTGCACTTGTCCTGATAACGAGTTGGAATATGAGATACGACAAAAAGACTTAAGGAATGTTTCCTTAACTCGAATATAAGGTTTCTTTTCCCGCATCGAAAAAAGGCGTAAAAATGCAATTCCTTATATAGATTCGGAGTTTATGATACTGGTTTACATTTTAGATTATTAAAAAAAGATGGATATTAGACGCTGCATAACTTTTAGTTTATAATTGTCCTAAATCGTTGAAAATATAGTTTATAATTTCTTTTCAATATTTTGCTTTCTATCTTCTTCATTAAAAATCTTTTTATTTATCAAAAGATAGAGCTCTCAACATATTAAAGACAAATAATTTATGTTATTTGTGATCTTCATTTTGGTGTTTTATAGATGGTAAAGGCTTTCAGAATTCAAAGAGGCAACAATACTGGTAATTATATAGTAATACTATAATTCGATGAATAATACGTAGTTTATCGAAAATTTCAATTCATTACATACGAAATACCTTTCAGGTGACATTCTGAACAGAATTCATCATGACGATATTTTGCACAGTACGAAGGGCCTCAGTACATGGTGAAATTCGAGTATACAGGACAGGCAAGAGGACAGAACCAGGCCTTTGTCAATTGTTTTATAGGTACAGTCTTCACAGCACTCACTTTTCAGTTCCGTTCCAGGTTTGCTGGAAAATACACTAAGGCTTAGATCTTTGGTCTTTGATCCCTCTTCTTCTGTCATCAAACCTCGTAATTTTGCACAATGGGGGTGTAGTTCTAGTTCTGGTTGGTTGTGTTTACGAGTGGTGGTAAATAGTTGAACCTTCTCAAGGAAAAGGCCTGGACGGGTGGTCCGGATCTGGCCACATTAGTGGAAGGCGACCTGGAGCTTGACTTGGCCCAATCCGAGAGGATGTCGAGACTATAGGGCAGACGATAATGAATACATAGCCTCTCACTGATCTAGCTCGAACATAGGCCTCTTCGTGGCTCCACTACGTAACCAAGCTGGGGCTTATCTACCCAGCCTGGGCTAACTATGTTCGGGAGAAGGACCGTCTTGTCTACTTCTTGGTTGCGGAGATGTTACATGGCCAGATATCAGAGGTTGTCCTTGGGGGATAGGTTCCCTTTTGTCAACACTGATGGACAGTTGATGTCTAACAGTGTGACTTTGTTCATTTTCGGTGGATGTGTTGCTGACCACCTGTGCTTGTGTACTTAAAATTGTGCTATGTGAAGCATTTAAGTCCCTCTGGATTGACCGGGGGGTTGCGCCTCCTCGGATAACCTCCAGGGGTTGGGACCATACAGCCGTGTTAAGGCTAAGGCCAGGTCTGCTCATTTGGTGTTCTTTTAAAAGGCAGTTGCAATGGTCCTGTATTTAACGGGCGACGACAAGGCCTAGACGGGACATCGCTAAAATTCAGACTGAATGCCGGAGTGGGGGCAGTTCTATATGTTTAGAAGACAGAGTGGCTGCTGTAGATAGTACTACTATAGCCCTATTGGCTAGTCACGGTGTGGTACTTGACACGGCTTTCTGACCGTCTCGGATTTAGTATGCGGATGCCTGGGTTTGCCGTTTAGGTTTTTAAATTGGTGGCTCGTCGTTTTACGAGACTATTATGTCTATGTATTAATAATTATGTCTGTGAAATTAATTAATTCAATTAGTATTAATAATTATGTCTCAGTAATTAGTATTAATAATTATGTCTCAGCCGTTTTCCCCTCGCAATTAGGATCTGCTATATCACCAGATGATTCCTCGAATCTAGTGAACGGATTCTGAAATGGTCACTTGGGAAGAATCCCACATGCCCACTGGGAACGCGGATCTTTTAATTTTTTAATGTTGAATGGGCCTTATTTCATGCATTCGCTATGTTTAAGTTGATCAGCTACCCACAGCTGATCTGTAAGGTGGTCAAATGGTGGCTCGTAATTTTACTGATATGAAAGTCCAACGGTTCTGACCACTAGTCTTTATAATTAGTGTGTTTTTATACCGTGGTTGTTGCCGGCAATGCATTGCCTTTCATCTTCCCTGGGAGTTTTATGTAACTTCGTTACATTTTCATTAAAATCTCGGATAAGCCGCCATTTGGCTTGCATTGGACTTTTGTCCGTCCTATCGGCCCCTTGTCTGGCCTGTGCTCGTTATTCCATCATTCGGAGTCATTCGAATCAGTGGCGATGCTGTAGACTCGGCCACGGTTCTAAACAAGTAATTTTGCACAATGGGGGTGTAGTTTTAGCTCTGGTTGTTTTTAAGAGTGTATTACGATTTTAGGTGAGTAAACCCGGGGCTTGGTATGGACCTTCTGAGAGTGGGTATAGCTACGGGGTAGTGACGCGCCACTACATAGCCTCTTACTGTCCTAATCTGATATAGGCCTCCTCGTGGCTCCCCTGGTAATCAGATTCGCCTGGGCTAATTATGTTCGAATGACCATCCCTGGGGGTCAGCTGGGACTGACCATCCCAGCGTACTGGTTAGATCAATATGTAGACAGCCTCGACTTCTGGAGTAAATAAACTGTTTTCACAGTGACTAGAGCCTCTTTTATTCGGTGGCAGGTTCACGCCTCGGCAGCGACCGTCTTGTCTACTTCTTGGTTGCGGAGATGTTACATGGCCAGGTATCAGAGGTTGTCCTTGGGGGATAGGTTCCCTTTTGTCAACATTGATGGATAGTTGATGTCTAACAGTGTGACTTTTTTCATTTTCGGTGGATGTGTTGCTGACCACCTGTGCTTGTGTACTTAAAATTGTGCTATGTGAAACATTTAAGTACCTCTGGATTGACCGGGGGGTTGCGCGTCCTCGAATAGCCTCCAGGGGTTGAGGCGATACAGCCGTGTTAAGGCTAAGGCCAGGTCTGCTCATTTGGTGTTCTTTTAAAAGGCAGTTGCAATGGTCCTGTATTTAACGGGCGACGACAAGGCCTAGACGGGACATCGCTAGAACTCAGACTGAATGCCGGAGTGGGGGGAGTTCTATAGGTTTAGACCCCATGGCAGTTTACGAGGGTATTAATAGGAAACCCGCTTGACATTCAGTCAGGGCCGACATCATAATGCAGAGAGCTAAGTACACCCCCTAGCCGCACCTAACATAAAAGACGTGTTTCAGAGAAGAGGAAATTATTTTAAAATTAGTCGAAAATTCAACTTCAACCTCCTCTGTAGGCCGCGATTATCGGATATTTTACCCGATGTATTCCAGCTCTTGCAAATAAATGTCATGAGGACGCATAATGTTAAAAACTTCTGCACATCTAGTCCTAAGATTGATAGTTAGGAGTCAAGATTGATAGCTAGAAGATGGGTGACACCGTTTGTCAGACAATTTGCATGAAGGCATCTGATTGTTTTGGACATTCCTAGGTTTTGCCTAGAAATATACAAAATTATAAGCAAATACATAAAATAAAATACAATAAAAAGCGAAAGAAATAATCAGATTTAATCCTTGAATATTCTAAATATGAATGCAAAGTTTGCAACATGAAGATGTGCAATGAACGCTTGTGCAGCGAAAGTGTGTGGTCACGTGATGTGAGCATCTGCATAAGCGTTGTCACTATTTAACTAGTTTAATTTTGGATGGAAAAAATACTAGCCGATTAGCAGATGAAAATAAACACAAATACAAAGAGATATTTTATACAAGATATACACATCATTCATTCAGGTCGGTTAAGCAAAACTTGAAAAGTTTACAATGAGCGACATGTTTCACTGTGATGTGACACCATCTACTGAGATGTAAATTCAAGAACAATGGAGGAGAGTCAGCACTCCCCGCCAAGAGCAAAATAACAGAAAATTTGTATTTGTTTCTTCTCTCAAATCAACCCTTTTTGTCTTTAACGTCAACTATGTCTTGCCCCCTCCCTTGAAAAATGTACCAATTTTCGCGTCAAAACTTCTTCCCAAAATTTATCAGAAAACAGATGGGGAAAATGCATAAAATTGCGTCTACAGTTGATTTCAGAAGCATGAAAAAATCCTTTCCATTTCTAATAAAAATATAAGCTTCTTTTCAAATAATTTCGCGAGTAGTTATACTAGATTAACAAACCCAAATTTACCAGAAAGGCAAAAATTTTCTGTACATTGTGTATAAATTTGAAATTGACGAATCAATAAATTGCATTTTAAAACTAAAATAATACTCAAAAAATTTTAAGGGATATATCTCCTTCAACCGAGAAAAACCCTAGAACTTGAAAAGTTAAATAAAAGACGAATATTAGACTTTTTCAAAATAAAAGAAATTAAAATTAAAATAATTTATAACGTTGCGCGCCTCTAACTTGCACGCAACCAAGAGGTGACTGTGAAAGCTTGTATAAAAGATAGAGCCTTGTGAAGGGTTTATGTCCCTTTTTATTCAACGTAATAAATTACAATTGCGTCCTCTTGACGCTTACAGACTGTGCCAACTTGGCAGTCAAATAAAAATAATAACCTGAAAAGAAAGTAAAGACAAGATTCTAACTACGAGGCTCTCTAAAATAACTAACTCACCGCGTTTTACAATACCGCTGCTAATTCAGCAGACTTGAAGCTCACTGGAACGATTAACCACTTCCCCGCCAAGCACATAGGCCGCAACGCGGGGTTCTTCAATTCTCGCTAACTACCTCCGCGCTCGCTAAGTAAGAAATCACTCCGAACTCGTTTCCTTCCTATTTAAATCAGAATAATACTTCCGCTGATAATTTGAATCCTTGCGCGTTCTACTCAAATTTACATATTCTGGCATTGGCAGTTCCAGGGGAAAGTAAGGCTTGACAGGAAAGATAGTTTAAACTTAAAATAAATGTTAGTTAAAATAAATATAAACCCTACATTTGCCGCTGCCAGAATTTGGAAAACTTGGAAGCAGGTCCTACAAACGACCTGTTGTAAGTTT